AAAAATAATTGTAAGGAAAATAATTAATAATAAAAATTTTATAGTTCAATATCCGTAATTATAATAAAAATGTGACGCAGATCTCACAGTTGACATTCATATGTAAAAATAGAAATTCCGATTCATCTAAATCAATCGAGATTCTAATGAATCCTCTACATGTTGGGGTGTTACAAATAATAATAAAATCACCAAACAAACACAGGGGAAATCAATAAAGAATTTTGTTGATCATATCATCATCATCATCATTATTATTATACATTAATTGCCGTTTACGTAAAACTGTTAATATAACTCATCATGCTGATGATAATTTTACATAACTTCATACTATTACCTATTACCCCTTTCCACCTATATATTTGCTTATCTTGTCATTTAAACATGATATTATTAACGGGTTTTTCAAATGACCAAGGCTTTGGAGTAGAACAGCCACAGTCAAGATAAAAATGTTTTAGGTTTGCAAAAAGATTTTTTAATGTAACAGAGTTTTTTCAAACATATTGACCCAATAACAAGCCACTATTGCGCGTTCGTTTAAACTTTAAATATGATAACATAAAATTAGTTTTATTACTAAAGTCGGGCTATGTTACATTGTAAATACATACTTTTTCGATTTATTCCATCTTATAATCTTGAAATATATTTGTTCTATCAAAATAGTAGCAGTTTTTGTAAAGCCGATTTTTTAATTTTATTTTTGAATAATATAGAATTTTTATTATCGTGAATTTTTAAATAAATAGATGAAATAAATGACTAAATTAAAAAGATTTATAATGGGTTAACTCTTAAATTTGAAGGCTATATACAAAGATAAAATTTATTCGAAAGCTGGTTAATTCTAATATTTCTTTATTTAATAACATTTCTTTAAAAGGAAAAGGTTTTCGAAGGAGAAATTTTTAATCCTTATAAACCCCCTTTTTAAAAAATTTTCTTCCTTAAGTCGCAAAGAATAAGATCATGGAAGGATTTTTGCTCTATCTTGTTCAGTTATCGATGATTTTACAATAAAGTTAAAAAAACCTCTCTGTTACCATGTTCATCAGAGGTTGTACCCAATGAATAATAATATTCAGTAAATATTCAGTGAATATTCGGTTAATCGAATATTTGATTTTTTTCATAATATATTGTGTAACTAAATTTAAATAAATTTTCTCGCGTCAAATTCTTATTTAATTAATTTAATTAATTTAAATTTGAAATGGAAGAAGAGCCTTCAGTCACTATAATAGGAGAAAATAATAATACAATAGTGAGAATGGATGAGTCTACTGCTGCTCATATTTTGAAGAAAAGAAAGGTAAAGGGTGATTCTAAGAAAGTCAAGTTGGATATGGAACTTAGAATATTCCATATTAGAAAAGTATTAGCATTTAAAAATTGGACATGTCTTAGATGATCTGCACTTGTTAATTTTAATTTTACAAAATATGTTACTACTCTGAAAAGATATATGGCAAATTAATGAATTAGTATTAGTTGAAACAGAAATTAAAATGATAGTTATATTTGTCAATTGTTCATCCATATCTATTGCCCTTTGGCTCTTACTTGTTTTCCAATATTGATTTTTCGTAAGATTTCAATGTTTGCCAAACTTAAAGACATAAATTAATTTATTTCTTCTATTTCAAGTAATTGGGGTAATTTAATATTGACCAATGCAAAAAAATTCAAAAGATGTTATAAACTCTCTCATGTTTAAAGGTAAAAAATAATTGCATATATTTTAACCAAGTTTTTGCCTGTTTTTTATGATTTACCCAAAGATCTTTGTGGAAAATTGAATTGATAATTGGAATGATGAGCTGAAACATGTATTGCTTCTTCTGGAAATTTTCTGTCTGATGCTCTTATATATCATTGGTTATGGTCAATAAAATGACTTGAAATGACCCATTAATAAAATAATTCAAGTTATCCTGCGAGAGACTATTTGGCTATTCCAGACCTTATATATTTTATAATTATTTAATAAAAAAATTAATATTAATATTTACTTTTTAAACTTTATATACCTACAAATAGTGCAGAAACATCATTCACGAATTTTTTGATTTCAAAGAATTTGGTATATGATCTAGACATCACATGTTGCAGATCATACTTAAAAATCCAAAATTTGTAAATCGCGCGGTTTTAGGTTATAAAATTTATATATATATATAATTTTGACCACTTTTTTTCGTGCTAAAATAATAAATAATAAACTCTATTTTCAGGATAGCACATATTTAGAAAAGTATCAGCGTTTAAATTTTAGATTGATGATCTATTTTATTTTGATCAAAAACTTTTTTATTATAATTACGGATATTGAACTATAAAATTTTTATTATTAATTATTTTCCTTACAATTATTTTTGAAATTAATCATTTTCGTCTATTCAAGCAAGCATTCACAAAATAATTAATGATACTAATAGTATTGTTATTAGCGATGGGAGTTGTTATATCTCGTTTCAAGTCAAAAAATGATGATAATTATGAAAAAATATTATCAGAGCTTGATGATAATATTCGTAAAACAGAAATATCCCTAGGTGAAATAAGAAAACGAGGAAATAAGGCATTAATAGTCTGGATAGTATACTCATTATTAGCATATATTGCGTATGCAATAGGATATTGGTATTTTATTTATATGTCTAATCAGGGAGAAGGTTTTGATTTTATGAAAGTGGCGCCTGTTATAACAGGACCTTTTTTCATAGTAGTTGGTTGTAAATTTCTTAATTTATGGTATAAAAGAAATGAAACTAATGAAGAATCTCAACTTGAACATTTAAGAGCCAAACAAAAACTTAAACTAGAAGAAATGAAAAAGAGAACTAGTTATTATTTAACTAAGACTTTGCTAGATAGATATGATTCACCAACAAATTCTCCAATAAATCAACAACAGCAACCAATGACTCCCGGTCAAAAAATTACATCAATGACAACACCTGGTAGTTTAAAACATGGCACACCAAATTCTTTACGCCAACGCCTACCACCAAATAATAATAATGATAATGATAATAATGGTAATATTGATCGACAAACATCTAAACCATCATCATCAATAAATCAAACTAACTGGTATGATAAGTTAGTTGATGTAGTTGCTGGCGAAGACGAACAAAAATATGCTTTGATTTGTAAAGATTGTTATACTTGGAATGGTTTGGCTTTTCCGGCCGAATTTGATGATATTCAATATTATTGTAAAAATTGTAATCACTTCAATCCATCAAGAAAATCTTTGATAAATGGCACTATTTTAGCACCACAACCACAACCATTATCAAAATCAAAATCATTATCACCATCAAATGGTAATATTGATGCATCAGTTGTTGATTCTTCGTCACCAAGAAGAGGTCGATCCACATCACCAAAACTAACTAGTAGAGATTCTTCATCAGATCCAGAAACATTAAATGAAAAATACGATGGTTATGATGATGAGATTGCTGTTAGCGAAAAAAAAGGTAGTCATCATCGTACTGATGACAATGACAGTGATGATGATTTGTAGACAATAAATTTTAATTTTATGATAAAAGTGAAAGAATTTCAAACCAATTGAAAACTACACGAAGATAATTATTCATATCTTTCCTTTCTCCACTCTCTTTTTTTATTACTCTCGTTATATTGACATCTCAATATAGTAACAAACAAAGTTTATACTAGTATAACGACATAATTTGTTATGACATGTCAGTATGACTATATTAAGAATACATCTCACGTGATGTGGCACAAAACCTTCTATTGGACCAATAAAATATTTGTAACATTAATATCGCGTGATTCATAAAAATCTTTTTTAATTCAGTGTTATCTCATTACAATGATTTCTATGAACTTCCGTAATATTTTTTTTGCTTTCCCCGAGAGTGTCATTGTAACGGGAATGCCTAGGATTTGCTCATTTCTTTTCGTTCATTTACCATAGACATTTATCAAGAACAATTTCAAAACAATTTTAATTTTACTATTATTAATTAAAATTTTTGTCATTATAGATAGCTATTAAATAATTTAAATAAATAATTTTTATAATTTACATTGAAGAACGCATGATATAGTCTTTTTTCTTGTTAATAATAATTTGTTTCGTTAACTCATTGATTAATCTTGTTACTTGTTCATTGTCTTTTTGCTTGAATGATCAAGAACTGTTATAATTGTATTTTATTATATGATTTCAATTAATGCTATATAAAAAAATAAAATACATGTTACAAAGTTGATAATTCATCCAATTATTCCAGTATCAAAAATTCTTAAAAGAAAATTTCATTATAAAACCTCAATCTTGAATAGTGCTGTAGACTCGGGTAATTTCATCAATTAAAATTTTTTTGACCAAAAATTTCATGGTATAAAAAAAAAAACAAAAAATTTATTTTTAAATTAATATATGATTATGATAAAAATATATGTTAAACCTGTTAATTCATGTTTTTAATATTTTAAACTTTCATATATACGTGTTTTTAATCATACAAAAATTGAATTTCATAATAGATATGATATATAGGCCAAAAAATGTGGAAATAACTATATTATTCTATATAATCAGTAAATAGGTCTTAAAATGCTTGAATACACCAATTATGAACTATGGAAAGAATATTGTGATATGCCTCAAGTTGTGAAGAAGAAACCCTTGAAGAGTGGAAAGAATAGCTTTGGCTTCGTTTACAGTATTTCAAGGATACCCATCTTCGGTCGCGTTTACTTCGTCGAAAATTATTTCGTCGAAAGTTTGTTTTGTCGAATGTTCATTTCGTCGAAAATTATTTCATCCTCGAGTCAGAGACCGAACGAGTTAGATGTGAGGAGTGTGGGAAGTTAGTTAAGAAATTAGGTGAGGAAAGCGGTGTGTGTGGGAAGTGTGAGGAGAAATTTGTTTAATGAAGTTTTTTTTTGTGACGAAATAATTTTCGACGAAATGAACATTCAACGAAATGAACTTTCGATGAAACAAACTTTCGACGAAATGGGTGTCGACGAAATGGGTGTCGACGAAATGATTGTCGACGAAATGATTATCGACGAAATGAATCAGACCTCATGCACATGATGGAAGTTTTAATAAAATTATATAAAACCAAGATATATGAGATAATTAGAATGCTTTATGGTATTTAAACGTGATTCATGAAGAAGGACATATACATCATGATCTTCGATCAATATCAATATTATTTTTATTATATAATAGATTTCTAATCAAATGTATTTAAGTTATTAAATGAATAAATTGTATTATTCTGATTCTTGGAATTTTTACATTGGTCTTTTTATTGTTATTATAAGAAAATATTTTTTTATCAATGTGATTAACTACTTTTTTTATGAAGCTCATATATTTTACCCATCGAATATTCATTCAATCAATTAAATTTAATATCTGAATAATTATTTGATGAATAATTAAAATATTCGGATATTCATTTGACCATTAAATTAATTATCCAGTGAATGATTGATTATTCATTGATTTATTAATATTTTTCTCAAAAAAAAAAAAATCTTTTCATAATAAAAATGGATTAAGTTTTGTTCTCTTTGAGGTTATTTATTTTCAGCTTGACTAAATAATCTCATTTAGAATGGACATTGTAGGTACACACAAGTATTTAGTGGCTAATTTTTGACAATACATGAAATATATTTTTATTATGTTTCCACTAGAGCTTCGGACGGTTCGGAGCTTTAGGTTAGGGTCTACTTGGCAGTCCCTGGTATTCTAATTTTTGCACACTGCTTATTTAGAATTAAATTTATTAATTTTTAATTAACTTATTATAAAACCAGTGTCCCGGTTGATCAAGTTTTTTTGAAGCACAGACTTAATTACTCAAAAGCGTTATAGTTTAGAATCTGAAATAATAAAGGTTTAAAAAGTTGGCAGAGATGATGAATTTGTTGTGAGTTTTATATATGGATTGAACGTCGTTAGAGGTTCTATTCGAATAAGTTTGTTCGAATTATTTATTTTATTCGTTTGCATTGAAGGTTTGTTTGAATGAAACGAATGAACAAATAAAGCGAACAAAACGAATAAAACGAATAAAACGAGTAATTAGAATACATATGTAAACTCGACAAGTCGGTTTTGGCCTAACTCGGCCAAAAGTTTCACCCCTTTTTTTTACTATTTAAAAAAATTTGATAAGTCGGTCAATCTATATAAAGTCGCGATAAGCGCCAAGTCGGTCAATCACTTATCCCAAGTATAATTAAATGAATCACGATAAGTTGGTCTCACGTGATATTTTATTATGTGAAGGGTTATCATTACTATTTAGTAATGTGTGATTTAATAATTTTTTTAATATATATATATATAAAATATCTGAACCGGCTTATCGAGTTTACATATGTATATACTAGTAAAATGCTAATAAAATATACTGTTTTCAAACCAAATTGGCATAAAAGACATACATTATAGTTTAGAGCTTTGGAAACATAACAAAATTTTTTCTTTATTTAACTATTTGTATCTATTGCAATTTCTGAAAAAAAATATACGAAATAAACATTACTCACTCCATAGCGCTGTTCTGCAAATTCCCCTCGGCTAGCGTTAGTCGTCAAAACTATTTTGAAGAGATGAAAGTCAAAGCTAAAATTAAAAGTTATACGTCAAAACTAAATCAAAAGTCAATAGTCAAAAATCAAAACTAGTTTCGACTTATGGCGAAACCTTTTGACTTTTGCACGGTTGCGAAACTCTCGAGTTTTGGAAACTAACGCTACCCTCGACTAAAAACCTCAGATATTTTCATGAATAGAACGATTTTCCAAATGCCCTGGCAATTGAGAATTCTTATTAGGATTAATTAGATTTGTTGATCAACTGATATCAAATCCTTAACACACGTCTCGGATGACTCCATTCTAAATATTAAATATTATTTTTTAACATACTTGTTTAATAACTATAGTAAGAAGCTCCTACAATGATGTTTCCAACTGTTGAATTTTAGGCTTGAACTACAGTTTGGACTAAAGTTTAATATATTAATAATAAACCACCAGTCGATGCGGTTTATTCAAATTGAATTCATCTCATCCTTGAACCAATATATCAAAAGTTGGAATCCTAACGCGGAATCTGTCCCAAAAAATAACATTTCCGCTTTGTTTGGTAATAATAACATACAAAAATGACAAAGATTCTAAAAATATTACTACCTAATAATTAATATTGATAATAACATAGAAAAAATCCAAGGTTAAAAATTCAATTCCTGACTTCATCGAGTTGATCATACTTGGAGGATCATAGACTAAAATAGATAGTTTTAACATTTTAAAAATTTCTATATTTCTCGATTAGCCAATAGCAAACTTTATATTAATGAATGCCGTTTCCCGTTCCTTTGACATAGTTTCCGGAGTAGAGTCCATAGCCCTGGATCGGGTTCCCGAATTTGGAAATCACATGTTCCACAATTAAATAAGTAAAAAAAATAATTCATTATTTTGATGGAGTTTTTTTTTAAAAAGGTAAACTTTTATACATTTTATAATGTCAATCATTAAATAAAAAAATAAATAAAATAAAACATTAATTAATTTATTGAAAACTATATAGTAATAATAAAAAAAGAATCAATGATAATGGCAGAAATTGAATTTAATCCAATTCTTATTTATAACGAGCTTGTAAATTTGTGTGTTAAGCCACCATTAAGTGGTAGAGTGATTAGCAATCATAACTCAGCAAGTGCAGATAATTCCAATAACAACAATGTAAATACTAATGTTGGTGATGCTCAATTGGTTCCTTCTCTACGAATCGATTCAACTACTTTGTCAAAAGAAGTTAACAAATTTCGTGCTTGTGATGGAGTTTCATGTATTTATTGTAGAGAATGGGCTTCTTTAATATACAAGAAAAACTTAACTTGGTCAGCAAAAAATAATACTTTAGGCAATACTAATTCATCATCATCAACTTTAACAACATCAACAACATCAACATCTTCAACGTCGTTAATACCACCGTCTTTGTTTTTGATTGTTTCAAAGTCAAATGGTAAAAGATCAAAGCAACTAGCAAAATTAATTTGTAAAAATTTAAATGAATTTATTATTACCCAACTTGATGAAAAACTTAAATCAAGTGGATCATCGACAACAAACGAAAAAAATTATAGTCTTCTTAATGAAACAGTCGAAAAGATTTATGAATGGATACTATTATCGAGTAGTTTATACTCTATGCCTGATATTTTCAATCTTGTTGAATTTGAAAATTCTTCATCATTACAATTAGATCTTGAAGGAAAAGATGAAGAAGAAGATGACGATGACGACGATGATGGTAGTGACCCGGTTCATATTTTAGAATTTTTAGAAATTAAAAAATCTAATTTAGAAATTTCAAGGAATAATTTTCATTTTTTGAAAAAAACCACCAAAAAACCAGCACAATGCCATCATTCCAAGCCTGATTGGAAAACTCCTTCAGAACTTGATTCCGACCGAAAGATTTTTAATGATCATTTGATAAGAGAAAAAAATCACGATAAAGAATTACTTAAAACCGATTTAGTTAAAGCGTGGCTGCATCTTAACAAAATTTTAACAAGCATAACACAATTGGAGGCGACTCGTGATCTGATACTTGGCAAAGGATGCGTTGAAAATTTATCAAAGTTTATGAAAGAGCACCGGGATAAAACAATTTCTTTCAATGAACATTGGACTCCTATTGCTGAAACATATAAAAAAAATAACAAGTCCAAGAAATCAAATAATAATAACAATGCAACTTCAGCTGCAAATGATGTTGAAGATATAGATGTAGCGTTTGGTGCTTTTACGAATAATTGCAGAAATGCTATTTCATTATTTAAGAAATCCTTTATTGATAAAGCGTGTGATAATGCTGTTCAATTTGGAGAGGAGGCGCAAGATATTTTATTGGATTTAATAACGGAAGCAGAGAAACGAGTAACCGGTGAGGGAGTTTTAGATTTTCACAGTGATCTATTGGAGAAATGTAATAATGCCTTGAAAACGGTCAAAGATATAAAATTGATGATATTAAAAAGAATTTCAATTATGCGATCGGAGATTGCCAAAAAAGAGAATGAACTTATTCAAGAGATTGATGCTTTAGAAAATGGATGGGCGAATGAATCACAAAAAACGTTGCAAGGACGGCTAGAGAAAGCCAATAACAAAGAATTTCGAAAGCGAATTAAAAAGTTCGAGAGTGCTATGCAATCAAAAAGACAATTTGTGGTAAATTCAATAAATAACCTATTATCAACCAAAGATTTCACAAGTATTTGTATAAGTTGTTTAGAGATCTTTATGATGGAAGGTGAGGTTTTAGAAGCTATGCAGCTTAGGATACATTATGAATCTTACGATGAGAGGCTTAAAAAGTTATCTTTTCAACGTGAAATTTTATTAAAAGATTATAGACAGGGTGTTGATACTGGTAAAAAAGTATTGGCAGGATTAATTGGAAGAACATTTTTGAAAGAGGCATCAAGATTAATAGAAAGGTCTTTAGCATTGAAGAAACAAGAGAGATTTTTACAGTCGATCGATCAAAAAAATGTTGATACAACAAAAAAGAAAAGGGCAGAAAAAGAACTAGTCGCGACAAATTCAGAAACAACAGAGACATCTAGATCCGTTGAAACTCCAAAGAAAAATAAAAAGAAAAAAAGAAAAGGCATAAATAATAATAATAATAATAATAATAATAATAATAATAATAATAATAATAATAATAATAATAATAATAATAATAATAATGATAATGATAATGATAATGATAATGATAATGATAATGATAATGATAATGATAATGATAATGATAATAATGATAATATTAATAATAATGATAATATTAATAATAATTATGATGATAATATTTATGATAATAATAATATTATTAATAGTAATGACAACAACAATAGTTCACAAGTGGAAAATGATCTGGTTTTATTTTTTAATGCAGAATACGACCCAATTAAAGATAAAGATCAGGAGATAAAACAGCACCAAAAAATTGGAGGAAAAACAGATGAATGGAATTTTGAATTAAAAGGAGGCCCAAAATTAGTAGAGAAAACTGAAGATCAAGAACGACAATCCGAGAAAAATTCTATTTCAATAATTAATACGACCAAAAATTTACAAAACAATAATTATAACATTAACAATGGTGATTCTGAACTACAAGAAACTTTTGCACGTTCGTTACCAGTTCCACCTGGTCTCGACATGTATACCAGAGATATAAATCAAACACAACAATCGGTAAAATCAACAGCACCAAAACCTCCTCCACTAGCGATGACAACACCACCACAAATAAAACAATTATTATCAACAGCACAGGAATCAATGCAATCAAATCATCAAAGACATGATAATTCTTTTAATGATTTTAATTTTGATGATTTGGGTAAATCTGATTTGGTATTACTTGTACAAAACTTGATTAATGAAAAGTCGCAATTAGTTACTATGCTTGTTTCGATGCAACAAGACGTGAAATTAATTACCAATTATTCATCATTATTACGTGATCGTGATCGTGAACTTCAAGCACTTCAAATGATGGAAGCACGTAAACAACTTGAAATGGAGGAAGCATTTAAATATATTCAAAGGCTGGAATTTCGTATTGCTCAATTAGAAAATAACAATAATAGTGAATTTTCTTCAATCCAAAAGAATGATGGATCGGTTAATACTAATTATCCAATCGTCAATGTTGTCGGTGGTGGTGGCATTGATGCTAGTATTGGTGGTAATGCTGGTGGCGGTGTTAGTCTTTTTACTACTGTTCCAACAGATAAATCATCGATTGGCAAGAACAAATACAAACCTCCACGGAGAAACCCTGCTACAAGCTCAAGGATTCAAAGTGTCAGATGTGGAAATTGTGGTGAACAAGGACATGTTAGTCAAGATTGTAAGATTGGGTGTAGATATTGCGGTGATTTAAGACATTTAAGCGAATATTGTACAACGGTTGCTTCCAATAATAATAGTAATAATAATAGTAGTAGCGGTAGTAATGATAATGATGATGATAACAACAATAATAATAATAGCATGGAGCTTTCAATTAACGCGGATAGTGATGATTTAATATTCTTTTAAATATGCAATGAAAAAAGTAGTTTATTTTGGACCTTTCTATATAATATTTGGGCAATTTTAAAATTATATATATTTTCGAGCTTGTAAAAATTCACATGTACATAAATCTTTATTTATTTGTATATTTAATAAATATGTCAAGGGCTTAAGGGTTAACCACTCGGAAATTAGCGCATGTGGGGGAAAAACTTTTTGATTCCAATAAAAAATTTAATTAGTATTAGTTTCTCTAAAATTTAGCCCTGCTCAAATACCATGCATATCATACCTTTTTGACTTTGGGTAAATGTATGGGCAAAAGATTTTCCTTATAACTTTTGGGTATAGATTCATTACACAATATCCATTCACTGCACTTTGATAAGTGTCGACTATATTGTAAAATTTTATCATCAATCAAACAGTTTTAGCATTTACTTTAGCCCTTTATAATTGTATCAATTAATAATTTATTTAAACATTCATCCTGTAGTTTCAATCTCTCATCCTTCTCAACAAAATTATCTTTTCACTAATTTAATTCTGTTGTTTCTATAGGTGATAAAAATGATAAAAATACATTTTACACATTTCACACACATTTTGAAAATTTTCACAATAATAATAATAAATACAATGAATAAATTTTTTAAATTATTTAAATTAAAATTAATTAATTAAACTTTTTTAGGGGTAAAAATATTTTTTTTTTATTTTACAAAAAGAACCAATAGATTATAATAATATTTATATTATTTATTTTATATTTATATTGTGTTATATATTTATTTATATTGTGTTATAGCAAAATGATATATTTACTATTTTTATTTTATGGCTGTGAGTACAAATATCCAATTGATTCTATTGTGATTAAATAAATTGTCCACGAATTTCTATTTCGTGGTTTTTTACAACATCTGTATGCAAAACAACCGTTAAAGGTGAATACTTTTTATTCCACCATCTCCTTTCCTTTCTCCACCTTCTCCATCACCTTCACTCTACCTTTCCTTTCCGCTATGCCCAGCGAGCATCACACCAGTAACTCACAGGACCAACAACCTGCCGCTGACCATGCTCTTTTCTTTCCTTTTATTTCCAAACATTATTATGCGGAGGGAAGGTTGGGATTTACCAACTTCATTCACTACTATTCCTCTTCCCAACCTTCCGCAATGACTTTAACTAAACGAGGCCCGGACCCAGCTGATAATAGCAATAACAACGACAATAATAGTAATGCTAATACTAATAATAATAATAATAATAATAATAATAATAATAATAATAATAATAACAACAACAACAATAATAGTAACGACCTTAAGGACATTAAGCTTATTTCAAGATTCCATCATTCTGCAACTGTTCTTGACAAAACTATTTATATGATTGGTGGTCTAAGCTCTTTTGGTAATAACGACAACAATAATAATTTGTCACTGACAAAGAACCTTGTTGACTTTAACTTTTCTGAACTGGAGGTTAATGAAAAAAATTCAAATTTGTCCGTGACTGGTCACGGGGCCATTCATTTGGATGGCTCAAAGGTTCTAATATTTTTTGGTCAGGAAGAATTAAGTCCAAAAATAAAATTATCAGATCCAGCAGTAAAATTAGTTGATGTTAAAACGGGGACTGTCACAGTACCTGACAACATTAAAGGTCAAACACCAGTGTCACGTTATCATCATTCAACAACACTTATTGATAATAAGATCTATATAATTGGTGGGCTGGATAAAGATAATAATCCTTTGTCAGATATTGCTTATTTGGATTTGTCATCAAACACTTGGATTTTAGTAAATACTCAACAATTTCCAATAGCAGGTCATTCAACAACAGCGATAGATCACTATTTAATATCGTGTTTTGGTTTTAGTGGTAGTAATAAGTTAACTAGTAATTGCAATGTTTATGATACTTCAAATAGTTCTTATTTATCAATTCAAATCAACGGAAGTCCTCCTTCGCCTCGCTCTTATTCATCAATGACCCTTGTTTCAAATAATAATAACAGCAACGATAATAGTACTATAATAGTATTTGGGGGTCTAGATGAAAATAACCGAGGAAATAATGAACTTTATGCTTTAAATACTTCAAAACTTCCAGCTTTATTATCCTGGACACCAATAACAATAAGTTCTAAAATAAACCCTAATAGAAATCTCATACCGTCACCACGTGGAGGCCATACCGCTTTCACCATTAACGACAAAAAAAATATTGGTAATAATGACGTAATGATGATTTGGGGTGGTTACTCTGACAATAATTTGGTTGATTCAGAAATCTATTTTTTTGATGTGAAATCTAGCTCATGGATTGACATCTCTGAAACTGGATACCTTGATAATAATGACGTTTTACCTGATAGCAACTCCGGTTCTAGAAGTTCTAACGTAGTGTTAATAATAGGTGGGATTGTAATTGCTGCCACATTGCTTGTTATAATTATAACAGTAGGACTTTTTTTAATGCGTAAGAAAATTAAATTACAAATTGACAAGGATATTCAAAATGATCCTTATATACGTCCCGGTGGTAAGCTTGGAAGTAATTCGGATTTAAGTCATGAAGAAGAAGCTGAATATAAATCAGTTCAAAATTCCAATAATAGCATTAATAAGAATAATAATGATGATAAATTACAAGGAGAATCAACTCCACCTTTGTCACCTTCGATAACGGATGATGAAAATGATTCAGAACCCACAGAAAATCGTCAACTGTCTACTTCTATTAGTTCAAATATTTCCATGTCCGATGCAAAAAATATGACAAACATACCTGATCTTCCTGTTCTTCCTTCTCCAGTCACGCCAAAAGAAACATTACCTCACAAAATCAAAAGAACGCATAAACGTTCATCGTCAGTTTCTTTAACTGCATATGATATGGCAAACATTGCCCGGGCAAAAAAATTTACATTTCCAATGTCACCTCTGCCCGTTGAAAACGTTTCCAATGTTGCAAAATCATCATCATTGAATTCCGATCCAAATAGAAACACAAATACTCCATTTAAATGGAGATCGACCGATGATGAACAAGAAGTGGTGGATAAACGAGGCACTTCTTTAAGAAATTCTAGTCACAGTAATAATAATAATAACTCACAAGATGGTGATTATATTATTTATGGTGAATATATAGATACAATGTCCACCAGAACTAGCTATAATATTAATAATAACAATAACAACAACAACAATAATAACGATGAAATTTCAATTAATTGTAGTAGAAAATCCAAAAGATCTTCAAAAAGAACAAGCAGAGTCTCATTTGCACCCATTGATGAAAAAATAGAATATAATGAGTCGGATTCATCAAGAAGCGTATCATTAGCCAGAATGTCTGGTAGGTTTTCATATCAAAGCAGTTCATCAAGTATCTCTACTTCACATTCAATTATTGAAGAAGAAGAAGAGGAACTCGATAATATTAGGGACAACAACAATAGCAATAAAAACAAACATTCGCCATCAACTCTCAAAGGTTTACGTTTATATGATGATCACACAGATGAATCTAAAATAAGTAGATTATCTTTTAATGTATATGATTTCAAAATAGATGATGTACCAATGCCTGAAAATTCATCAACGATAGCTTCAGCTACTGCTCCCGCTTCAAAAACAACCGAAATTGCCAGATATTCGTGATAGTATTAAAGAATGAACGAAGATGTCTGTCTTGTGGGCAATTTAGAATTAATAAAATAACAATTCATATATTCATACGTACATGGATATATGTATCAGTGTAGTTTGGATCAAGAATTAAAAAAGAAGTCACCATCAACATTATACCCGCATCCTTCTGTACAATTTTCTCCTTAAAAAAAAAAAACACGTCAAAAAAAAATATAAATATTTTTTTTTAAAATTCAAATATTTTTCTCTTTTTTTCTAAAAAAAAAAATCTTTTTTATTTTTAACCTGTAATTTATTTTTTTTTTATTTTTCAAAATTTTTTGTATTCACCTTTTTTTTTGGTTTTTTTTTTCTCTTTTCTATATTTGTTTATTTTTTTTTTTGTCACTCTTTTCCTATTTTTTCTTTTTCTAATTGATTAACGTATATTATGTTGTTTTAGATTTGATTGGATTTGTAGATAAAGGTGAAAAAGAAAGATATTATAATGATTTACGTGCTAGTTATCATTGTCACTATGTTTTCTTAATATGTTCTAATTATATATATATTAAGATTTTAAATCTTTCTTTTCCAATCAAACGAAAAAAAACCAACATGATTTTTCCCTTCGTAATCAAATCCACCACCTTACTCTCGACATTAGCAACCTTTCATCCATCTTTTCAATAATTCCCTTTTCCTCTATTATTCTTTTTTTCCATTATATCCTACTTCCTCATATATAATATATAATTATATATATCCATTTTATTTCGAATTCAAATTTACTTTTTTTTTTTTGGTTTTTAAAACATAGGGGGTTTTTTTTTTTTGGTAATTATAAGGATAATAATGTATTGCTTTTTTTTAAAGAAAAAAATTTTTGTTCTTATTCATGTTAATAATTAGATCGAGTTCTTAAAATAATGTCTAATTTGTATAAAAAAAATTTTTAATAAATATTAATAATAACAATGAGCAACCAAAAAAAATATATTATTCTTTATTACGAAATCTCAAAGTCTTGACTTGATGCACATCAATGATCCAACACATGATTTTCCCATCTGTCTTTGTCCCATCTGTCTTTGTGTCAATGGCTTATCGAAAAAAAATATTTCTTTCTGAAAAGATGATAAAAACGTTTATTTGGAACTAATAGTCGGGATACGAGCGTAAAGTTGAGCTAATTTCTGGTCTATTTTTTAAAAAAAAAACGTAGTTTTATTATTGCAAAAATAAGAATATCCCAGCCTTGATGTTGAGGGCATGTGTGTCAGTATGCCAAGGATATTGCAAATATGCTTAATCATTGATCAAATCAACATTAAAATAGCACCTTGAAATTCTTAAGCCGATTTTTTATCTTGGTCTCGTGATTATTTCTTCACCCTAATTTGGTTCCGTTCTCCGATAACATGTATTAGTATGGTTGTGATAATGAGCCCGAATGGTAGGCCTTTACATCTAATCATTTACTACAACAATATCATCATTGATTTACTTTACTTCATAATAAGTGTGACTCAGGTACAAAATCGAGCATTACATGGCAATGGACATCATTCTACACTTGGGAATTACTTTGTATATTATATTGTCTAATTGTGTTGCGATGAAATTATACAAATTGTCAAGTCAATCGATAAATATTAATTTTGATGGTCAAACAATGACAAGTCGATATGAAATGAATGTCTTAAGGAACAGGGCCATTATCACATTAGCGTTAAAAGGGTTGTATGGTATCTTATTGTGCCTATAATAACTCTGGTACCAAATTTTTTACTTGAAAATGGCATTTATGTTAACCAGAAAATCAATTATGCATTTTTAGTGTTGATGACTTTCTTCGCAATTCAAGGTAACAAACTATAACTAATGATAAAATTATGTCACATGATTTATTAAATATTTAATTTTTTTCTTTAGGTTTTCTCAATACCATAGTATTTATGCAAGATCTAGAGCTCATAAATTAAGTTGGCACCACGTTAATAAATATGGCCATATCTTCATTTATCACGTAATAAAGCATGAAAAAGATAAACAGCAACAACAAAGTCTTCCTTTTGCCGAAAAATTACGATAGAATTTGTCATTCTCATTATTTAGTAAACCAAAAGGTGATGAAATGTTGATTGAATGTGATCAATATATGACGACAAAATATGATATAGAAGAAGTAGAATTGTCAACATAATCAATGAATGATAAAAATGATGGTGATGCAACAGTAAAGGAAGGATGATGATGGTGCCCTGGGTCAGATTTATTATGCAAACTATAAGATATCAAGAAATTTTATTTAAATAAACAAATTTTTCTGATTTCTTTCTTACCTTTTTGTAAAAGTAAACTGATTTGTCGTAAAGTGGTTTTCGT